AGAGAGAGAGAGAGACGTGAAAACTTGAAAGAGTAGTGAAAACTGTTTAACGATTTACTCTTTGTTACGCAAAAGTACAAAGTTTTTGTTCATTCAACTCACAAGTTATAAAAGATTAAACATTTTATGGCTCCAAACTATACACTAAAACTTTTTACTCGTGGAGAGTGTGATGCAAACTAGAACCCAAACCTAGCCCCAAAATCGAAGCCCGACCCGCCCCAAACCCGTAGAGTTTGAGCCCGCCCGGCCCGTTGACAAGCGCGGGTAACCCGCGGGTGCCCGAAAAAACCCGGTGGATTATAATATAATAGTATACTCATATTTTAGTCATACAATTCAATTTTAAACGCTATTAATAATTATTATAAGTACATTTGTTAATGAAATTAAATTATAATGATTATTTAAATCAAAATTGGAGTGAATAAATATTAGTTTATACTAGTTTAATATTATAGAATTCAAAGAAATGAATTTAATATTTATATAATTATATAATGCTTTACAAAGTAATAATACCCAAAAATATATGCATACAGTGCTCTATCTAACAGTCACGGGTTTTTACGGGGTTTTTTTAGAAAAATTTGAAAACCCGGCCCAACCCGGGCCCATAGCATATGAGCCCAAACCCGTACGGGTCGGGCGGGCCCGGGTGCCCAACGGGTTCGGGCGCCCAACTTTGCATTCTAATGCAAACCCATAGATATATCCCATTAGTGTTTATAGAAATAAGTTTTAACGCTTTTGCAGTTGAAGTGTCTTTAATGCATAAAAAAGGGACACGACATGAAAACTAGTGTGACCAACTCGAAACATAGAATTCCTGGATATTCATATAAATATTTAATAAAATTCTAGGATGTATGTTTTAAGCCATATTTAGCATATAAAAATTTATTTTTCTCCAATATTGACATAACAAATATAGTTAAATCTATTTTAAAACCTCAGTTTATAGATTTAACTACAATAATTATTCAGAATAAGTTATTATTTAACTATAATATTAAATAATATTTAAAATAAAAAATACTAAAATTATAAATAATATATTGTAGTACATTGATACGAAATACTGCATGAAAAAAGGTTTCGAGTTGGTCACACTAGTCTATGCTTTAATGCCATATAAACGGAAAACTAACGCATCATTTGCTCCGCAATTGACATCATATGTGAAGAGATTTTTGTGTTTATTATAGGTGTGGAGACGTGTGAAGGAGACATCACTTAAATGGCAAGTGTTGGACACATTTGTCCATTTGAAGCACACTTTGGCATACATTAGGCGTATATTTTATCATATATTATACATGAATGTAGTGTCAGAGAGATATAACAGGTTTAGATAGTATAAGTTTGAGTACAATTAGTATCCACAGCTATTAGCAACACAACATAACGATAAACTTTAAAATAATTATCTACAAAAAATATTTCAAATGTATTATAATAGGAGTTTTGCTAAATATAATACCCTATACCCATATTTATTGATTAACCATAATATAATCGTAAGTATTAAAGTAAAAATATTTGAACAATAATACCCACGAAAACATTATAAACTATTATAGCTATAAAATTTGAATTTACATTTATAATGGACTATGGATTATGTAATAAAACGAAAACTTATGATATAAAGAAATGCTTTACAAACATAATGTGCGGCCGAATGGCGTGTATTTAGCATATTATGGCAAAAATAGCTGTTTGAACAGTAATTGTTTGCAAACACCGATTATTAATAAGACTCGGAGTCTGTTGTTCACCATTACATTCATTAGGATAAAAGAAAAATATAAATTATTATTTCAAGTATAAGTATCAGATATCATTAAAGTAGTTATAACTATATTTTCTTTTCAATTCCGCGCATTAAAAGCAAAACTAAACTCAAATGATATGTGAGTTATAAGAAAATTGAATTAAATTACAAAATATTCACTAATATTTCCATACATTATATGTTTATTGTAAAGATATATTTAGTTTTTAGTATAATTTTTATGTGTTAATATTTTATTCTAATTGATTTTTATGAAGGAACATGGTAATTTTAAAAATATATTTTATTATAATAACATATATAAGAGTGGAAAAACATGTGATCATATAATACAAGGCTAATTTTACAAAAGCACCATTATTCTTATTTATTAACTAACTTATAATGCAATTTTATAATATACTGTATTAACAATTTTAAATTTTTATATTGATATATAATTTCTTATATTTTAAAATATAAAATTTTAATTTAAAATTCCTTAATTTGAATTTTACTCCTATAAGATTTAATACAAAACAAATATAATATAAGTAATGAAATAATATTTGTAAAGTTATAATAAGAATTTAATAAACCATTTAGCATAAATTGATTGACATATAAATATAAATGATATTTATAGTAAGTTATTGCAAGGTTTGTTTGAAAGGTATTCATAAACTATTCAATACACACACTGGTATAACCTTAGGTACTTTAAATGATATTTATATAAATATTTTTTAAAACACTGTCTTTAGGATAATTACACAATATTTGTGACAATCAATGCAAACAATGCATCAAAATGTATATTCAATAGGAATAGGAGTTTATATAAACATAAAGTTAATTAAATGGCATTATATGTACATTCTTTACAAATTTTCGCTCAATTCACACAAACCTTTGATATTTAATGGAAAGTCAGTGTAATATAAGTATTGTTTAAATATTCAAACAAAATGTAGACATATTTTTTCATTTACTATTTTGTATAAATAAGTAAAAATATAATCAAAAATTCCTAATACTTTATAAAAATTAAATTCTATGTAATATATAGTATTGCACTGTATTGTTCAGCATGTGTAGTAAATGCTATGCAAATGTCAATTGAAATACAGTATTACAGTAAATGTCAAGAACTATATGCCTTTAAATTCAATATAAATTATTTGAAAGTACATTTGGACATATGTATTATAATGACCTGTCGCATAATTTAAAATGCGTTAAAACTTTTATAATAAAATCTTTTAATATTGTTACATATAAATATATTTTTGCTATTAATATACTGTAACAGTTAAAGTTTAACTAGATATAAAAATATAATTATTTGCTTATAAAAAGTATCGAAAAATCTTACAGACAAAACATAAACACCAAACACTATAAAATATTTATTTAAAATTTAATTATTTGAATATGTTGCTAATATTTAAATAAAAACTTGATTAAATAAATTATTAGATAATTTTTAATCAAATATAAACTATTAAATGAGTAATATAAACAATTTATATGTAAATCAACGATAGAGTCCTTACGATTGCTACATATCTTGACTTATATTTACCAATAATTATAATAAAAATTATTTCTATATACATTATTGTATTAAATATAACCATGATAGAAAATTGTTCAGGATAGTTTAATATATAGGAAACACAATCCAATGTTTGACTGATTCTGTGACCCAAAGTCCAGAATTGAGTCCAAATTGAGTGCCAATAAAGCGGACGTTATTTGTGTGCAAAACAGATGCGAAAGTGAGTGAAAAAAACAACAAATTACTGAACGGTTTGGCAATCATTTGACACATCAGTGGACACGACGTGTGATCCGAACCCTCCTGAGCGATGTCCCACTGGTTCCACAGAAACGCATTGAAATGCACGACAAGTCAGACGTATTCCTTATCCCTGGTGTCGGCCCACCCGCAGGCCATCCAACTGTGCGACCGCCTCAAGACGGCCCGACTCCAGGCGCTCGACCTCATGACCGACCCCTCCTCTGATGGCGAAGTGGTGGACAAACAGCTGCGACACTACTTATCACTGCTGTTGGGCTTTGTCTTCAACCACGGCTTTGACCCCAACTACGGACCCACCGATAGCTCCAAACTCAGGCACTATATTAAGTTCAAGTGGACGGACAGCCTCTTGGGTACGGACACCACACCCCTTCCCCACCACTCTTATAGCCTATGATATACTGATGATGTGTGCCATCGATCCCACCCACAGGTGCCGTGCCGTGTGTGCGACAGGACTCGGTGTTTGAGTTGATATCCATGTGCTATGAATACGCCATTTGGTTGACGAAACACTGCTCCCAATTGGCGGCCAAACCGGACATCGATATGGAAGCGGCCAAAGAGTGTCACAAATGTCTCCGCAAAGCGGCCGGTGTTTTGACGGCCATCCAGAATGAGTGGTAAATACCATCAATGCATCCGCGGATTCACGATAACCTCTAATGATTGGTTAATTTGTACGCAAACTACAGGTGCGAACGGCTTCTGGAGCGGAGTTTCGTGGCCGGCAGTGATTTGGATCCCCGTGTGATCAGTGCATACATACAACAGTGTCAGGCGGAGGCCCAGGAGGTGACGATAGCCCGCGCTATTGAACTCAAACACAACCCGACGCTCGTGTCAGCGCTGGCCAACGAGACGTCGAAGTTGTTTCTGGCGGCTGCCGGTGCTGTCAAGGCATTGGATCCGACAAAAGTGGGCAAATGGATGACTTACTTCCAGATGAAGTCCGCTTTCTATGAGTCATACGTAAGTCATCAGTCATTTGACTCCGAGTTTGGGTTTAATTTATTTTATTTTCTATGCGTTTAAGGCTTTCTGTTATTTAGGGGAAAGCCTTTTAGAACAGGAGAAGTGCGGAGAGGCTATCCGTGCGCTCGACGAGAGCGAGAGATTCTACGAAATTGCTGTCAAACTATGCAAAGAGTACCGCAAACAGAAAGCACAGGGAGGGTCGGGCGCTAAGATCGATGAGCACTTGTTTTTCCGCAAATTACAGCCTTTAGTGAAGCGAACCAAAGATAAATGCATTCGAGAGAACGGATTCATGTATTGATTGATTTGATTGTTAATGTTTTGTGTATTGATTTAATTGCAATTATTTGTGTGTAGTTTTCATCAACCAGTGCCTAAAGACTGTCCAGTTTTGGAACTCAAGGCAACCCATGGATTGGTTACACCCGAAGAGTTTTCTATGCCTACTCTCCACGAGCTATGGACCCCTCAATCATATTCAGCGTTTGATTTGTCTAAAAATGTCACTTATGTTGATCCGGTAATTGATTTGTGTGTTGTTTGCGATTATTTCAATCAAATTGTTTACAAAAACAGAGACAAAAGGATAAAAAGGGTGGCAAAGGAGCAGCTGCTGGCGATAAACCCGAAGAACCCATTCCTATGGTCGATGAAAAGCCCATTAAATATAGCGAAACTGATCCCAAGAACCAAAGTGGGTGTCAAATACAATAGATATCATGTTATCTTATATACTGTATATTTATACCCTTTAACACATTTTTTATAACTTTATTTTAAGATATGTTTATTTAATATCAGACACAATATAAGAGATTTAATATTTAAAGTATTAATCATTTGGTATTTTAATTAATTTTAATTTATAATCAATTATCAATTGCTTTTACTATTAACGCTTTTGTTGAAATTTATATTAAACATAAGTTTATGTTTTTATTATGATAAATCAAAATTTTTATTATTGACTAATAAATTCACTGTATATACGGTATAAATAGTGTTTATATAATATAATACGGTAAAAATTAAAAATGCACAAATAATTTTGTACCGCTTATAAAACTCTGTTTTAAGTCATAAGTATAACTGAATATCGGGCAAAAATGCAAAACTTTGTAATACAGATTATCAATAAATACTTGTTCACGCATTTGGTATAAAATGTAGTATAATATAAAAATTAGGAGGTGTTTGACTGGAATAGGGTTACAGTTAGCTGTCCTCCCACCTCAAAACTGATGAATGTGCCGCACGTGTGGTGAATGCGAAACACCCCGAAGTAGCAATGAATAAAACATTGCCACATGTGCTCCGGGTATCGCTTCTCCATTTGGGTCTTAATCTCGGTCGAGATGGCGGCCAATGTGTCGGACTTCTCGATGGCCGCGAATGTTATCTTTTTGACGTCGGATATCATACTCTGTTTCATATCCGTCCGCAATATCTGAATCTCTCGCTTGATTTTCCCGTTTTTAAACCGATGTTTCAGTGATTGTGCGTTAAACTGAAAATAAGTTATAATCAATAACTTTTTACCTTGATTCTGTGTCAATATTTGTACTGGGATAAATTGTTTCATTGGCATAAATCAATATAACCATGATTATAGTGGGGGTTGACATAACTCTATTAGTCACCTAAACAATGACCTAATTCCTGATGTCTATGATTTATAATATGAACACAATTTCACATAATATTGCCTATAATTATAACAAATACATACGAATTGTGTTTTATGGATCTCGAAGACTAATAAACCAAATTTGACTTTAATTAGGAATCCCTCCTCATATGTAAAGAATGATTTGCTGCCACTCTTGTAGTCAGCCATACAATGCCATCGATGGCCAAACTCTTCATTCAATTTCTCGACAATATTCTTGCAAACGACGAAAATACTGTTATATTCCTTGACCTGTGCCCTCACTATAGTCATCAGTTTTTGTGTCACATCTTTGTTCATCTCGTTTTGCAACACTTCTGGAGTCCATAAATGCTTTCGACACGAATTGAATATCTCTTGCTCTGAGATCTTGGGTTCAAAATAAATGAATTAATTTTATAACAAGAATTCAATATTTGACTTAAGATTAAACAGTATTTTATTTCTTAATAAATATTTTCTACAATTACTGTTACCTCTGGTGATGACGTGATTGGAGGCTTTGGATCACTTTGCGATAGTCTTTGATTATTAGTAGCACTGACAGCACTGGTAGGTCTAATAACAGGACTGTTGGACAGATCCTGAATAGTCTTCAAAAAATTCATTTTCTCCGTTTTTAATTCATTGATTTCACGTATTAATGACTGTTCCCTCAAACTATTTGCAATACTACTACCGGTGCTGCTTGTATTAAACAAACTCACGGGTCTGGCCGGTACTGCAGCCACTGGTGGTGGTGCCGGTGCTGGTTGTCTGATGGGAGGACTAGTGGGCAATGGATTGCGTTTTAATGCATTGATTTCCTCATTAGCCTTACGGTTCAATTCAAGCAATGATTTGATACAGTCGTGGCCCGACTTTTGTTCACAAAAACATTTTTTGCATTTCTTAACCTTTGTCTCCACATTATATTTACATTTGACCGCATGTTGGGTCAGGTCCTCCAAATTGACCACTTCTTTGCAGCCCTTGTCTTTGAAATCGCATCGGATTTTCAGTTTTCCCAACATATTCATCAAAACTCTGCATTATTTATATTTTATTAAGTAATTAATTATATGTTTTATAATAATTGTATTTTAATGTTAAATTTATATTATTACTACTTTCTATACAGTATACGGTATTAGAATTTTAATGGCATTAGATTTCTATTAGTTCAAAGTTATAAAAATAGCTAGCTAGTAGCTACTATAATATCAGAAACTCTTTATAATACGCTATTGTTAGTACAATGCCCTCAGAGTGTAGGGTTTATAAATAATATTTACATTAAAAGATATCTATTTACTTAATTGACAATTATCAATATACTGTATTGTATATCATGTGAAAGTAAATTCTGAAAGTAAATAACTTTCATAATTTTTAGTCTTATTATGAATTACAATTTCGTTTTCATAATTGAAAGGTTACTAGTATTCATAAACCTGTACAATTAATTTAAATATTAACCATACACAATTATAAAAAATCAAAACATTTAATAATTTAAATAAAATTGTGACCTTAGGCCTTAAAGTAAGCATACCTGGGTGGTCGTGACAAGTCTTTGGGAGTCAATGTCTTGCGATCGTAAGGACAGGTAGTATTGTTTTTGAGCCAATTAGTGATGCATTCCTCGCAGAATGTCTGGAGACAGCACTGGGCTGTCATCGGACAACAGAATATGTCCTGACATA